CTTTGCTCTGGTCCCTGAGACTCCACTGTACCGCTGCTGTCTCCCTGCCATCTGGATCCTCCGTGACCCTCACGATTTCTGGTCTAAATTTCTTTATTGTTCAATTACAGTTGTCTGCATTTTTTCCTCATCACTCCCCCCCAACCAATATCAGTATTTTTAAAAACAATTTAAATAAGGTTTCAAAACCTGATATAGGTCCCCACATTATTTCTTTTCAGAATTTTTGTGTTCTGTTTTTTCTTCCTAGTGGATTTTGAACATTTAAAGCATTTTGTCAAACTTCAAATATGTCTGTTGAAATTTTGATAGAAATTATAAATTTTATAAATTAAAGGTAAATAACTAACATCTTAATAATAATATATAATCTCCCCATTCATATATATGGGATGTTTCTCCATTTATTCAAACTTCTTTTATAATATTCAATAGTTTCATGATCTTTTTCATATTAACTAAAACTTTCTCCATATGCGTGATACCTTGTTTTTCTGCTATCAGGTTCTAAAAATTTGTTCCTGCAGGGACAGCAAAAGGCTCCAGGGTGGCTGGGGAATTTCACTAGAGAGATAAGGGCCACAGTAATTTGCCACCCTAAGTGGCTTTAAACTAGTGGTTTTCAAAGTGTGGTTTCCAGACCAGCAGCATCAGCGACGCACGGCCATTACTATTACAAATTCCCAGGCCACACCAAGTCCTAAGGAGTAAGAAACTCTGGGGGTGGCACCCGTCTGGTGAAGTCTTCAGATAATACTACTGCATACTGACTGAGGTTTGGGAGGTGTTGCTTTAACACCGTGATTCTTAACCTTGACTGCTCAGTAGAGCCACCTCAGGCGCTTTTCAAAAGCACCAGTGCCTACATTATTTCTCCTTTCTACCCCAACTCTGAATTGCCCTCTAGTGGGACCCCGAGCAGGGTTCTTTTAACCTTTCCAAGGTGATTCTAAGGCATAGCCAGAGCTGAGAACCGCAGCTCTAAACTAAAGGTCACATGTAAACTGGGGAGTTAAACTGGGGAGTTATAGGGCTGTTGCAGGAATTAAGTGTTACAACTAATAGGAAAAGTTAAGTGTAGTGCCCAGCAAATGGGAACGCAGGAGACCAATGGTAGTTATTGTAATAATCCTCAGACTTAGATCGGCGCTACATTTTCAGGTCATGGAAGGACACAGGGAACTCGAGGGCCCTGCATTGGTGCATTCTGGTTATGGCTCTGAGGTAGCCTGGCTATACCCATTACTGCTGCCATGAAGCGGAGTTTCCACTGGTGTTTGTAGGTACTTGCACAAGCACCTGCTGTTTGCTGTAACCCTTTCTCTCTGCTTGTGAGGACCCTCCCTGTAACAGTGTGGTGATTGGCAGTACAGGCTTTGATGTCAGGTGACTTGCATCTAAACCTCAGTCTAGATGCTTAGAGCTTTGTGATCTTGGACAATCTAAGCCTCAGTTTCCTCGTCTGTAAAATGGGGATACCTATCCTGCAAGGGTTACATATGGCCTACATATGGCCTACTGGTTGTTTGTTTTCTCTAAGTCTTCTCAAATACATTACTATTTGTTTTGCTAATTCTATGTCATTAAAAAAATTGTTTTTCTTTGAACTTACACGTGAGCACTGAAGAGAAAGGGCCATGAAGATAGGGGTGCAGGTCAGAGGAACTCTCCCTCTGCTGCTCGTGAAGTGTGCTCCTGCCTCGACGTCCTTAAAAGTGGGCACTTAGAAGCGTTTGGGGAAATGTGTGAAGAGGAAGAAGGTGAAGAGGGTGCAGTGTTAAATTCTGACCTGTGCTTTCATGGAAGGTGCGTCATAAACAAGATTGTCACACGTGTGGGTGTTGGACACATACCGCCACACAGGGCCACGCCTCGTTTTATTGTGCTTCGCCTTGCTGCATGTCACAGGTTGTCTTTACAAACTGAGGGCAAGACCCTTCACCAGCAGAGACTGACTCGCTTTATTATAGTAAATATATAGCTAAATATATGTTATGTACTTAACATAAATGTTATAATATATAATCATATATTGCAGTGGTCTGGAACTGAACTCACAATATCTCCAAGGTATTTCTGCATGTGTACATGATGCTTTTTATTGTTTAAAATTGATTTCAGAGAAACATTGATTTCTTGTTCCACTTATTTATGCAGTCACTGGCTGTGTCTTGTATGTGCTCTGACCGGGGATCAAAGCTGGGACCTTGGTGTATAGGATAACACTTTAATCAACCGAGATTCCTGGCCAGGATGGCATGGTGCTTTTGTTTTTTATCTATTATTTAAAAAATTTTTTCTTATTTATCTTTAGAGGGGAGGAGGAGAGGGGGAGAGAAACATCAATGTATGGTTGCCTCTCATGTGTCTCCCACTGGGAACTGGCCTGCAACCCAGGCATGTACCCTGACCAGGAATCGAACCTCCATCCTTTGGTTTGCAGGCCCACACTCAATCCACTGAGTCATGCCAGCCCGGGCTGCATGGTGCTTTTAAAGACATGAGTCTCTGGCACCCATGATTACATGTATAATACAGTTCATCTCCCACCTGCTTCTCCCTGACCCAGCCAAGCTGCATGTGAATATAGAGAACTCTGTATTTTCCATAGGTATTTGTCAACACCACATTGGAAAATCTTCTAGTAAGACACAGTTTTTGTAGTTATATGAATAACTATGTAAAAATACTGGATTAACCTTTACAATGTACATAGTCCTTTTCACAAATGTTAATATTTCATTAATGCAGAGAAGTATTATTACCATGAGTTTACAGAGGCGAAAACAGGTTCAGAGAAGACAAGTGACATAGGGTCACACAGCCAGTAAGTAGAACTATGTCACAAGTTCATGACTTTTGAATCCAAAGCCTTTTTATTATGCCATTTGAAATCAAGGGCAAAATCTTCCTTGCACACAAAATACCAAACACTAGAGGAAAAACAGTTTGGGTCTTGACAAGAGAACTTCAATTAGATCTATGACTAGCCTACGCCTGCAGCGAAAGGTTTTTCTCCCCCAATTGCAGTTAGTCCTTGTCTTAACCCTTGGTCACTGGTGACCTAAATGTGTTGTTTCCATGGCGCCAAATTAACCCTTCATCTTATCTTCTACTTTCTACCTGCTGCAAGTTCAGTACCGGCTGTATTGTCACAGTGTTTACTTTATCCGTTGGTTTTAGGGATAGCTCATGTAAATGTACTTTGGCTTTAGTTTCTGGCTTGTAGCAGGGAGAGGGGCACCCTGATCTCTGATGAGCATTCTAGCAGCTTCCTGTGAAACCCTGCTCAGGTACCTTGCAGGCTCTGGGTCTATCAGGGAACCACCCACCAGTTCCGTTTTGACTCAGGTTAGCTATTGGTATTTAATATAGTTACTCTCTTTAAAGTAACGTGCCAATTCTCCTAAGTTCTGGTAATTTAGGCCTTCTCCAAAAGTTGGAGGTGACACGGACCAGAACACCCGCTGGGAGGTTCTGCACTGGGTTCTGGCCACAGGCCTGTTTCTCAGCCCAGTGTCCTGGGGTAAGTTATCTACCCACCGGGCTCAGATGCGCTGGCCAAGACTGTGCCTGCACCTTCCTGAGCAAATCCCTGAGATCTTGTCAAAATTTTACAACACGCACATGCTGGTTTCCACTATTTTACAGACAAGTCTGTTCAGCTGTGTCTTCCACAGCTGGCATGTCAGGTGATCAAAGAAGGCTTACGGAGTCTCAGCCTTCTGTGGGAATTCACATCTATCAGATACAAATCATCCAATTTTTGTAGTTTTTATTGACTATAATATAGGCCCTGGCCATACCACCTGGATTATGTCTTTTGAAAATATCATTTATCTAAAAATATGTAGTGGGATTCTTACTGGGTCAGGAATTATTCACAGGGAAGTTATTGCCAATACTTCTCAAGTTGCAGGGAAAGAAAATCGTAGCTGCTACATATTTTCTTGCCTGTTCACTGTGCTTTCTTCTGAGAGGCAGAAACAGGGGTTAAATGGTTAAGATGGTAAATTTTTTGACCATACTTAAAGAAAAATTTACTAGAGTTGCTCTTCAGAGCAACTCTTGGGAAAACAATCAGAGAAGCTCTCACGGCCTCATCAGTTTCCTTGCTAGAATACAATAAACTGAGCAGCTAGCTACTCAATGTATACAACAGTCATCTCAGAGAAAAAAACATCTCACACACTCGGATCTCTGGGTAAGTCCAGGCTTTTTCACAGAACTTGCAGAAGGCTCATGATCTGGCCTCTATTTCCTTGTGACCAACTAGTACTAGTTAGTGGTCTTTTTTCAATTCCTTGAACAGGACTTCTTACCTTAGGTTCAAGGGTGTCCAAACTGTGGCCCGCAGGCTACATGCAGCTCAGGATGGCTACGAATGCAGCCCAATACAAAATTGTACATTTATTTAAAACATGATGAGATTTTTTGTGTGTGATTATGTGTTGCAATGTATTTACTGTGTGGCCCAGACAACTCTTCTTCCAGTGGGGCCGAGACACCAAAAAGTTGGACACCCCTACCGGTGTTCTCCATGCCTCACTTATTCATCCTTCAGAGCCTGCTTAAGTATCATCTCTTCAGGGAGGCCTTTAGACTCCCCGCTGAGGTCCGGACCTCTTGTTGTCTCCCTGGATCAATCCATCCACCCTCTCCTAGAAGTCTGGATTTTTCCTTTGTAGCACTTAATGCAATGTATTTATGTAATTAGTTAGTATTAGTCTCTCCCACAGTACTGAAAGTCCTACTAGGTAGGGACCATTTCTCTTGCTAATCACTGTATTACCAGGATCCCAGTACCTGTGTACAACAGGTACTCAATACTCTTACCAGGTACAGCCTTTTACTCCACATATTTATCTGACTAGATATTCTCAAAGGAGTAGGTGGAGAGGCAGGTAAACTTTGTGAGCTTGGTGGCCGGAGACAGTGGCTGAACAGCCAGAGATGAAAGACTCCGGGGCTGGTAATGCGGGGGAAGCAAGAGGGAGTAATGAGACTACAGGGTGCTTGTTTAATGTTTCCCTTCCACTTCCCCAACATCCCACTCTCACCCCGAACAAGCCATTCAACAATAATTTATGCACTTTTTTCTTAGGGAATGAAGCAAACCTCAGATTACAAAACCAAAGCCAAAATAATTTTGCAGAATTAGAATGTGTTCAAGAAATCAGTCGCAGTTTAACTGGGTCAGATTTCAGTGTGGAGAGGACTGTGTTCCTCCAGATACAAGCTTACACTCCCCACGTGGGGGAAGACAATAAACACTCTTTTTCCTGCTCTCAGTCGTCAAGGAGGAAGTTTCCTTTCTGTGACCGATGCTACTTCTTCTTTGTTGCTCGTTTCCCTTCTCCTTTCCTTGGTTTCCCCTTTCCACGAAGCTTCTTCAGACGCAGCTGCTCATCCTTGAAGTCCTGATGCTCATCTCTGAATGGAGAAAGAGAAAATTAGCCAGTATTTTTAAAGACTGCAAAAGTTCACCAATGCAGCACTGTTTCCTTAGGTGGTTCTGATCATTAATCCTTGACTTCTACAAAGCATATGCTCAGCTTGGTGAGCAGAAAGGACAGGGAGTCCCCAACAAACAGTTGTCATGTATTCCAAAAGTTCATTTCTAAGTCACAGTTCTCCCTCACAGAAACAACGTCACAAATAGCAGTTAATTCCTAGGCCAGCCACGTACACCTATGTAACTGTGACATGACACTAATGATGACCCCAAATTTCCCTATAACACTAAGACAAAACACTGAGAGGGGCAGAAACTGGGTAAAAACTTCAGTAGCTGCATGGAGACCCTCAAATCTCTAGGAAGTAACACCTGCGACAAGGGGGAATGGTGTGGCGAAAGCCTCCTTAATGGCAGCAGATAATTCACACCAGAAAGCTGCAGGGGAAGGGCAGGTGGAAGCCAGATCAAAAGGCGGGTACTCTGGGGATCAGGGCCGCCAGGACCATGGGACACGTGGATGGGTGTAAGAGGAAGCCTGCCTAGAGTGCGTAAAAATGTCTGCATTCTAACATCAAATACCTAGAGAACAGTGTGGTATTTATTTGATTTTATTTTTTAAAGACTTTATTTCTTTTTAGAGAGGGGAAGGGAGGGAGAAAGCGAGGGAAGAGAAACATCAATGTGTGCGTTGCCTGTCGAGAATCCCCTACTGGGGACCTGGCCTGCAACCCAGGCACGTGCCCTGACTAGGAATCTGACTGGTGACCATTTAGTTTGCAGGGTGGCACCCAATCCACTGAGCCACACCAGCCAGGGCTGATATTTAAGTATGTGAGCTCTGAAACCCATTTGAACCTGAGTTCAAATCACAGCTCTACCATTTAGTAGCTGTGTGACCTTAGATAAGTGACCCTCTGTCTATGAATCTTCATCTCTTCATTTGTAAAGCTTGGACAATACTGGCATGTGCACTGAATGTGAGAGTGGGGTTTGCTGGCCAATTTTTAAGTCCCTAGGCTGTTTTCAAAGAGTGGTTTTATAGGTATGCTGTTTCTGTCCAGGGACATGATGGGTACAACAGACCTTGTTGAGATTAGCTATGATTGCCTCAAATAATCTGTTCTCGACAGAGTGGCCAGAGTAACTCTTCTAAAATATAAGTCACATCATGTTACCCCCCCCCCCCCCCCCCCGTTCAGAACCCTGCAAAGGGCCCCCATTTCACCCAGAGCAAAAGCCAGAGTCCTCCTGTGGTCCTTAGAGCCCTTCACATCTGCCTGGAGTCCCACCACCGTGCTGCTCCTGGGACATACCAGGTGCACGGTGGCCTCAGGGCCTTTGCTGTGCTCTTGCCCCTGCCTTGAGAGCTCTTCCTCAGGTCCTCCTGGGCTCACTCGCCATCTTCACCTTCTCAATGAGTCGAGCCCCGACAGTCCTGTTTAATGCTGTGACCCGTGCGCTCCCTGTGACTGAGTGCCTGCCAGGGTCCCTGACCCTGCCCAGCCGGCTCTACTACTTTTCTTCCCATGGATATCCAACTTTGTAACATACCCCATAAGTTACTATTTCCCCCCTTCGAGCACCCTCTCTCCCTCATTTCCATCTACTTCCAGCCAGAAAGAAAGCTCCAAAGTCAGGGATCTTTGTCACTGTTGACGAAGTGGCCCAAGTACGTGCTGCACTATGTCTGAGCGCCTGTGCCTCCCTCCCCCAGCAGGTCTCGGAGTGACTGAGAGTTTCTTCGTTGGAGGTTGTCTAGTTTCATCCTGCCGATGCCACAGCAGGCCTGGCCTTCAAGGTACCGTTTGCCTGATAACTAAATACATGAAAATAACTGTGCTTTCCCGTGGACCACTGAAGTGTTTTTTCCCCGTCCCCAAAGACAATCAAGGCTTTTTTCCCCCAAACAAAAACAAAGTGGCAGCAAACAGGTACATTAAAATAGCTGAATGTGACTCTGTTATGGGTTATAATTTCCTACTGAGGAGATCTGCCTTCCAGTGATATTTTCTTTTGGGCATAATAAAATTAATTTTGTATCTTCTGAGCCCAGACAAATGGCAAGAGCCCATATTCCAAAAATTGAAAATGTGTCAGGGATTATAATCTCTAATAATATATTAACTAAGAAAATCTATCCTATTTTGTTCCCTGCTGCTCCCCTGTGCCCATGTTAAGTGCCCACATATGGCAGGTACTTAAAAAAATACCCATTGGATAAATGAATGGGCCAATCTTCAGCCATCTGGGATGAACTCGTAATTTTATTATACTAGAGTGAACAGTCCCGAATTAATTTTTGTTTTGTTGCCCTAAGTGAAGTCCAATAAAAAACATATTAAGTTTTAAAAGTAGGCATTTTAATTTTAAACAAATATGTACTATTTGAATTCTTTTGTGATGTCCATGTATTAGTTTGTTAGGTAAGACTTTCTTTCTTTTTTTTTTTTTTTTAAGATTTTATTCATTTATCTTTAGAGGGGAAGGGAGAGAGGGAGAGAAGTATCAATGTATGGTTGCCCCTCGTGAGTCCCCTGCCGGGAACTGGCCTGCAGCCCAGGCATGTGCCCTGACTGGGAATCGAACCGCGATCTATTAGTTCGCAGGCCTGCACTCAATCCACTGAGCTACACCAGCCAGGGCTTTTTTTTCTTTTTTAAAAGAAAATGATCATATAATTATTTGCTCTATTTTTTCCAGAGTTGTATATAGTCCTAAGCTCCCACCTCCTATACATACTCAAGCATACATTTGCATGGTGGAAAGAGTCTACTATTCTTAGTATTACACATTGTTCTATTCTAGTCTCAATACACATTATTCTTAACAGTGAACTGCAGCTTCCTTAGGCCATGTTGGTATATCAAAAGGGGTGCCAACTAAAAATCCAGAAGAGGGCGGAAGGCAGTAAGAACTCCAACGAAACTGCCAGCAGGAAAGAAAGGCGGCTCCCCCACGCCAGCTAGGAGGCAAATGGGCCGCCGCGCAGGGACTCTCTTCATCTGGCCGACAGAAGCCCGCTCAGTGTTTAGACCAGCTTCCTCTGGGTCTGCTCAGAGTACTCGCGCTGATTAAACATCTCTCTGCAGCTCAGTACCTAGTCAGTGTTAAGTCACATTATAGTCATAATTAAAATGTCTTCCAATAAGTGCACTTTCCTTTTATTTTTGGTATGCTGATTATAGATATTTTGAAAGCCTTTACCCTCAAACTGTACCTTTTGAACTACCTGGGCATTATTATAAGATCTACGGAACTATAAAGATAGAAAGGCTATTTTTTTTCTTTCTCTGATCTACTACAAAAATGTCTTATAGGTTGCTCTTGTTTGTTTGTTTGTGTCATTACCTGTAGAGGCCATAAAAACGCAGTATCCCCATGAGTGCGAAGTAAGTGTTGTGATTTGGGTACCAGTCATAAGTCTCCTTCCTCTTGGCCAAAGGCTGCTCACTAAACAGTTTCACCACCTTCATGGATTTAGAATCAGTAGGCCTGGCAACCTCCCCAAACAGCCGGGCACTCAGACGAGACATGCGCAAGGCGTATTCTGAAAGCGATGACATTTCTGGGGCACCAAGGAGCAGGAGTCCCTGTGGGAAATGAGAAGACAACCAGGTTATTGTAGGAAATACCCAGGTTACCGAATGAACACCTTAAAAAACCAAAATGCAGCAAATCACATGCAGATCCATTCATGTTGTTGGCAGGACACACCCTGGAGTTGAGAAATATCCACAGAACAAGTGGCTATTTTCCTTCCCATGTTTTAAATTTTCAATTTTTACATTTGGTGTTCACTATTGCTCCTTTGCTCTACTGCCCTTTTTACAGTGAACTATTTTGTGATTCAATAGGTTATTTACTGATGGTCAGTTTACCTACTTGTAGGCTACATTAGGGTAGAGAAACAAGTTTTCCTGCCCTAGCGTTATTATTCCTTCAGAAAACACCCACCTAAGCAGTCTGCAGAATAAATATGCTGACTGCTTGCCATCTAAAGGTTTAATCATGGCAGAGAAATAATTATGCTGTTGTCTTTATTATCAGCCCTTTGAACACAGATCTCCTCAAGGGCTCCAGATGGCTGAGAACTGCTAATGAGTGATGAGGTCATTTAGCCTCTAGGTTGCTGGACTGAATTCCGCCTAGAGACTGAGAGCCATTTGGGAAAAACAAACAGACAGTTGTCTTATGGAAATAAAATGAAGAGCTCAAAAGATTCATCTTATTCCTGAATAGAGGGCACTTATGAACTGTGATGTTACTTGTCTTATCTTCCATCTCATATATTTTACTTTACTGCAAACTAGCTAAGATCTTATTAGCTGAAAACAGTAATTTTTCTTCAGAGGTGCAGAATGTTGAAATAGGTATATAAATGATATCTGTAATATACAGAAATTACAGCGACTATATATCAAAAACTATGTAGGTTATACATAAAAGTCAAGAATGTTGCTGATAGAATAACATTCCATTCCAGTTAAAATGTAGGGGTGACTACTGAAAGAATATGCTAAGTTACATGACATTTTTGTACATAGTGAGATGAGAATCTGCTAAGAGACCATCTGGGGGATGATAGTTCAGTTCAGTTGAGACTAAAAAGGCACAGATCTCCAGACAGAAAAAAGTCATAAACCTCTCTTGAAAAACCAGTGGGAGAAATATACAAAACCCCTCCTAAACAGGAATGATGGCAAGTAAATTTCAAAATAGCTCATGCATGAAAAAACCAAACAGAACATGAACCAGTGTTTTAATTAAGGAATATTTCATGTCCATGCTAAGATCCATTCAAAGAGCAGAGGCTGGCTTCAAAGCAACTTCTGAACTGTCTCAAACCACTTCCCATTCTGAAACCAACCAAGCAATCCTGGGCCAACAGTGCCACCTGAAGGCCAGCAGTGGGAGAACTGTCAGATCCAAGATCTCTGCCTTCCCCCTTCCCCCAAAACCTGCCTGGGTGCAAGTGTTGCTCTTTCTTTTTCCCTTTTCCTTTCAGTGAGCCAGGTTCCCAGACTCACTTCACTCCCAACACTTGCTCCATAATGTGGATGGGGATGGGTTGGGGTTCTGTTTTAATCAATGAGGAAAAAAGTCATTAATTGTTTAGGGCAGCAATTTTCAACTGGTACGCTGCAAGAATTTTTAAAACATGCAATACCTGACTGTTTAGTCAGGGGCACTGCCATATTTTCCTTTAGATGGTCAAATAAAAAAATGACAACAGCCAACACAACAATAAGCATGTGGTGTAAATGAATCAAAATTATACCTATTTTTTGTCAGACTGGCAAAAATGTATTTTTTTGGTGTGCTACAGAGCTTTAATTACTTCATGTGTACCAAGATAAAAAGGTTGAAAATTGCTGGTTTAATGTATAAATGAAAGTAGTTAACAAATCAGTGCTTTAAACCTCCAAAGGCCTAAAAAATGTCTAGTGGTTGCCTTCAGAGTTACAAAGTTTCTTTGCATGCTTTATCTTTTCTCTGCTTCCCCCTTTAAAGCTGTTTTTGCAAACATCAGAGGAAAAAAAATAACTGTTTCTTAATCAACTTTCTTCTGCTTAATTACTGTTATGACATGAAAATAGATTTTTGTGGCAATTGCATGCTGTTTTCACCATCAGTTATTTGTAAGGTGGCCTAGGAACCATTAGCTAGGTTATCTGGAACCTATTCTCTCTCAGTCTGAGTTTCCTTTTAGGAAAGCAAAGCTCACAGGACTACTGTGAGAAATAAGTAAAGCCATGGCACCCAGTAAACGGCATTCACCTTAAAAAAAATCTAAATCTGTTGGTAAGTTGGTGCTTACATTCTATTAGACAGATTTGTTTATTCCTGTCCTTATTTAATAATGCAAAAGAGAGAGACTCCATGAAGTGAGACCTGTACCCCTATGGGATAATATCCTTACTTACAGAGAGTGCCAGCCAGAGGAATGGTGGAGGGGACCCGCAGCTTGGTAACGTGACAGATAACAAGGAGGAAGGGACTTATTCAGAGTGGTCACTGAAGCCATCACAGGATGCTATGTTCATGACTACTTTAGAATGTAGCACATTACTGGGACATATAGCTCATAAATCATGAGGTCTCATTAGAACCCACTGCTGGAACATGGTTATATCACAAAATCCAAGACTTAAAACTTTTACAATAGAGAAAGGGAATGTAGTAGAAACAAAGAACCACGTGATAAATGGAGGGAAACTGAAAATGCTTATAATAATTACCAGTTACTGCTCTGTAGTCTCCTCCTACACAGTACATGTGTCTGATTAAGAATGGCATAGGAGCTTGATGTTTTTTTTTTTTCGTATAGGCTAAAAAAGCAAAAGTTCTGCTGTCCATAAATACTGGTGCTAAGTCTGGCAAACTGCCAGTTTTTTTTACTAGATTAAAAAAATTTTTTAAGAATTGTGCACTTTTAAAAAGAATATTTTATTTATTTATTTTTAGAGAGAGGGGAAGGGAGGGAGAAAGAGAGGGAGAGAAACATCAATGTGTGGCTGCCTCTCATGTGTCCCCTACTGGGGACCTGGCCTACAACCCAGGCATGTGCTCTGACTGGGAATCGAACCAGCAACCCTTTGCTTTACAGGCCCGTGCTCAATCCACTGAGCTACATCAGCCAGGGCACTAGCTTTAAATTTTTTAAGAAAGTTCAAAAGCTTTACTTAGGACTTTTAAGGACCCTTGTAGGCCTTTTTACAGATTCTTTCAATGTTATCTTTAAAATAATATGAGAACCCTGTTAAAGGCAGGAAAGTAAAAGGCAAATAATTTACATATACATTAGACTTTAATTCACATGAAGCCATTCTAATGGGTACAATTAAATCACTTTTCTTTCAATGTGAACTAAAAAAAAAACCCCAGTGTCATGAAGAAAAATGTACTGTAGTTGAAAATGCTAAGCAAAAACAAATTAAACATATTAAGTGCACACAAGAAAATGCCCATGTTTTTACCTTGGCCTAAAAGGGCAAGTTTCTTGGATCTTTCTGATAGGTCTGAAGCACTTAAAAGGTCAGGTTTATTGTTTATTTCAATATTGGCTTTAGATTGTTTGCCTTTTTTTCCCTTTGAAAAGCGCAGGAGTTCGTCACCTGGACATCCAGCATGGTGAAACCAACGGACCTTTAAAATTGCACGCTGAAATGTGAGCGTGGGTGTGTGTGCAACCTGCTGGGGAGAGAGCTTTCTCGGTTCTCCAAGACCAGTGGTGGGAGGGGCACACCAACTTCAGTTGTGAAAATGTGGTTGGGATTCTGCCTCTGCTCTTTAATGGCCATGTGGGGTCTGTAGTAAGTAGTAGTATTATATTCTTTGCCTCCGTTTTCTCATTTAGTCCTTGAGGGCAGTTACACTACCTCCTGCATCGTGAGGCTGATATGTCAAAACTCCTGGCACTGCGCCTGCCCTAATAATCGCCAGGCCTCAAGGAACTCACGCACACTGTACACACGCGTTTCACAGGAAAACAATCTAAACACAATGCTTGACTATTTTTAAAGCCCGGTACCGATTATTTTACTGGGTCGTATAGAGGCATGAATAGCTCTGAATAAATATCTGCTTTATTCAGTTCAATAAGAACATCCCAAACCCCTCAACTGAATGGATCGTGCCGACAGTGATGGAAGGATTAGGGTCAAGTCATCTGACAATGAATCAGCAGGGTGTTTAGAGGATGTTAATTATCACTTTATTATATTTTTCTTAAACCGGTAACAAAATTAATCTGCATGCCCCACACGAAGCTGCATGCGCAACAAGCCCTCTGGTGAGCACAAAAACTGAGGCTGGAAAGTTCCTAAACAGGAAGACAGTGACAACTACGATAGTGTCCCTCGCTTGGAAAATCCCCCAATTTACGCAGGAAAAGGCCAAGTTGATTGTATGATACCTGCGAAACCTCCAAGCTGCTTACTAATGAAATAGACTCGTCCTGTTTTCGGCGACCCTACAAGGTTGTGCACGCCCGCGGGACCTCTACAGCCATCGCTCACATCTCACCGCAGACCCCCACAAGAGAAACAGACAGCTTACCTAGTGGTGACCTGCTTCCCCCAGGCGCCCTTTTCCCGGAAGGCCCGCCCCTAACCCGGCTCCCGGTCTCGCCTTTGGCGGCGGAGAGCAGTGGAGAAACGAACGCTTGGGGGCTAGAGGGGCTCTACTGGAAGACCCGGAAGTACTATGCTACAGCGCAGTAAGGCTGGCGCCTCCGGCTGTGAGGAGGACTGAAGAGATGGTGGTTTGGGAGCCGTATAAGATTTTGTAAGGTTTGCTGAGCTACACAGCTGCCCCACAGTCCTTTCAAGCAGTGTTTGTGTGTGCGCCTAGTGGAGGATAAAATGCACTTTCTTATTTTCCTTCTAACTCTTTCTGGGTGTTTTCTTTCTCCTTTTTATCCACCCTGGCCTTGACGTATTCTAGGGCACTCCTAGATTCTAGGGGCTGAGCAGTGTTCTGAACCACGTGGGGTGCCATACACCTTTCCTTCGGGCCCGTCACTCATCCTCCAATAGGCGATTAGTATCATCTGCAGGAAACCGTTAATGATGCCCCTTTGCTGGCTTAGGGGCACTATTTGGAGCCCTACGTGTCCCTCTCCCGCGCCGGCCTGGATGCTTCTTTAGGGACACGGATGGGATATTTATATGACTCCTCAGCAGTTACCCAGACCCTACTTGGCAGAGAGTGGAAACTGGTTGACTATTTCCATACTTAGTCTACTCTCAAGCAAGCCACATCCCCAGACATTGTATGAAACATTTATTGGATGTGTGATAGTTTGAGGACACCGCTTATTTTCTATTATTCAAGACCTTTCGTAAATACTCTAAAATGTACCTGAGAAATAAGGCAAATCAGCAGTGAGCCGTATACCTAAAATGTATTTTATTGACATGCACTTTCCTTCTATAGAATTTTATGTTTTGACATCAATCTGTAGAATTTGCTTTAATCAAGTTAAGTTCTGACATGTCGTTATTCTATGAGATACTATTAACCACAGAAACTTGGGTCTGGTGTAAAAAGTTTACTACAGTTGTATTTACACATGGTATAATGAATACCCCTCATCTTATTTTGCATTGCTCTGCCCCCAAAAGTCTTCTGGGTAGAAATTTCACCTTCTCTTTTGTGTTTCTGTGAAGTTGGCTTGCTTTTATTTAATGGCCACCAAATCATGTAAACAAGGAGGCTTCCTTTGTTAGAAAGTTTAAAGCCAAATTTGCAGTGGACTCATGGCAAGAACTATTATATGTGTATTTTCATAAACTTTGTTGTTGGCTCTATTTTGTAAATGTCTTTGGTTTTTCTCTTTTCACCTAGTTATTATTTGTGTTAGTATGTTTGTGAATCTCTATACACTTTACACTACCATAGCACTTAAAAAAGTTTTTTTTTTTTTAACCATACTTTCTTGAAAAATAGCAAGCTATAAAGTTATAGGTAGCTATGTACTCTGGGCACTTTGCACTGTGGCCCTCTTTAACTCAAGTTAATGGGGTTCATATTAGTTTCCTGAGCCTGCTATAACAAAATACCACAAACTTTTTGGCTTGAAATAAGCCCTGGCTAGTGTGGCTCAGTGGGTTGAGTGCTGGCCTGCGAACCAAAGTGTCGTCAGTTGCAACCAAGGTCCCTGGTTGGGGGCGTGTGAGAGGCAACAGCACACTGATGTTTCTTTCCTCTTTCTCCCTTTCTTCCCCTCTCTAAAAAGCAAATAAATAAAATCTTTAAGGAAAGTAACACTGGGTCAAAATCAAGGTGTTGACAGAGCATGCTCCCTGCAGAGGCTCTGGGGCAGGATCAATTCTTTGGCTCTTCCAAGCTTCATTGACTTGCGGTCACCTCACTCCAGTCTGGAAATTGGTTACCCACTGAACAATGGAAAAATCTGAATATTAGGGTGGGCAGAGTAACATAACAGAGTAAAACTTAATGTCCTATGGATGCTGACTTCTAGTTGACTTCTAGACCTCGGTGTACTTGTTTGCACCTCTAAGCTAAGGCTCTTTTTCTTTCTTTTTTTTAACTTCACCCTAGGACATTCTCACTGATGCTAGAGAGAGGGATATGAGGGAACATTGATATGAGAGAGAAACATTGATTGGCTGCCTCTCCTATGCACGCTGACTGGGACTGAACCTGCAATCTAGGCATGTACCCTGACTGGAAATCAAGCTCACAACCTTTTGGTATACTGGGGGACACTCCAACCAACTGAGCCATACCAGCCAGGGCCAAGCTAAGGCTTTTAAAAGGACATTTATTATAATTAGGGATTGCCTTACATTTTTCTATTTTCTACAGCTCATTGTTTTAAAATCGTGAGCTATGAATCATTAGTTGGTTGTGAAATCAACTTACTTGGTTGCGACGAGCATTAAAAGTCATTAGAGTAGGGAATATCAGAGTGCATTACATATTCATGAAATAATATGTATGTGTGTGTTGGACCATAATGTAAAATATACTTCTTACTCTAAGTTGTGGTAAAATAGAAAGCTTCCTCTGTAAGCAGTCTCATTATTCATCATATTGTATGGCACATACTTCTTACCATTAGAGCAAGAACTGAAGCCTGCTTCAACTTCAAGTTCTTATTGTGTAGCATAGTCCAAGGGGCAAATGGATACTTACTCCTCTAAGTAAATTAATTTATAAATCCCCTATAAGTACTCTTCGCTAGAATCAGGTGGGTTCTTGCCTTCTACTTCTGCATTTACATTAGTTCTTTTCTCACTTTACCAAAGAAAGTTGTATCCCTCATCCAGCGTGAAGAACAATGGGGCAGTTCAACATGCTTTAGACTCAAGGGAAGCTTCATTAATCAGTCAAGGCATTATAAGCTCTTACACTCCCTGTCTTTTCCTGTCTTACATGCATTCCTGATAAGGGTGAAGTATGGCTGTTAGAAATGTAATTGGCCCTGATGTAGCAGGCATAGCTCAGTGGTTTGTGAATCAGAGGGCTGCCGAGGGCTGCTGGTTCAAGTCTAGTGCACAAGCCTGGGTTGAGGGCTGCAGGGGGCATGTAAGAAGCAACCACACCCCACACCTTTTTTTTTTTAAAGATTTTGTTTATCTTTAGATGGTAAGGGAAGAAGAGAGGGAGAGAAATATCAATGTATGGTTGCCTCTTGTGCGTCCCCTGCCAGGAACTGGCATGTGCCCTATCTGGAAATCGAACCGTGATCCTTTGGTTCACAGGCCCATGCTCTATCCACTGAGCTACACCAGCCAGGGCCACACATTGATGTTTTTATCCCTCTCTTTCTCCTTCCCTTCCCCTGTCTCTAATCTTAGAAAAAAATGCAGTAATTGGATATTTGTTGTGATTTTCTGAACTCAGAGACACTGTGTGAGTGTGAGTGTGAGAGGAATAGTAGGTTTCCTCTAATCACCACGTGCCTTCCATCCTCTGTGGTTAAAAAGTGCGTTGTCATTGCAGAGTCTGGTGAGAGCAGAGCAAAGCCAGCGCTGAAGAAAATATTGATCCCTTAATTTTTATTCATGATTTTAACTATAAGGAATTTTTTCAGCTATTCTCAATACTTATCCATAGGATGTGTCATTATCTGGAAAGAAAAGCAACTTTGAAGAGCTGAGGTAGTAGATATTAGTGACAGCGATTATTTTAAATGAAAAATGGATTATTTTAAGAGACGTTCATATTTTTTACATTGCAGTGGAATAATCTACCAAACAGTCATACATCATTTTAAGTTTGGTATGTTAGTCAATAAAGGTTAAATACATGTTGTGAAAATTATTGACATAATTGAACAAATATTTCCTATTCCCCCTTTCCAGATGTAAGGTTGGAGAGCGTTTTATGGCAATCTTGGGACTGGGTAAAGCCATGGGTCTCTTTGGCCGATGACTTATGAACAGAAGTGAAGTCTCATCGTCATCCACATGACACTCAGAGCTCACTTTCCCCTCTGGCTCAGAGGACCATTGTTTATCAGCCCAGGCCGCTGTGTGATTATGAGGAGCAGTTTCTGTTCTGCCAGCCACAATGTGCGTGGAGCTTAGGTTAGAAATGAGCCTTTGTTGTTGTAAGTCATGCAGTTTTGTTGTTTGTTATCCTGTCTGATTTTACACCAAATCAATTTTAATAACATACTTTTATTCTTCATTAATTATACAGGAAAAATTTTTATTATGATTTCAAAACAACTGATTCAGCCTATTACAGAAAGTTTATGTGATTTTTTTAAACCTCACCCAAGGATATTTTCATTGATTTTTAGAGAGAGAGAAAGGTGGGGGGAGAGAGAGAGAAACATCAATTGGTTGTCTCCCACATGCACCCTGACTGGAGATTGAACCTGCAACCTAGGCATGTGCTCTGACTTGGAATCGAACCCACAGCCTCTTGGTGTACAGGATGACCCTCCAATCAACTGAGCCACCTGGCTGGGGCTTTATATATGATTCTTATTTAGTTATTCCTGAGAGCTGAAAACCAAAGTTAAGTGCACATCTAGACATACTTAATAAAGGAATACTGTGCCTTTTATCATCCTCAAATTCATAAACAATACTTATTTAATTTGTTTTACTATTACAAATTAGGGAAGGAGAAAAATATATAGATTCATTCTTGGTTTTACAATATTATAAAAATAGTAAACTAATTCTGTTAGTTCCTGCATCATTTTAACTTGGTGGCTTTTAATATTTAAGCTTATGAGGTACATGATGTAGAAAATATACATCAAGCTACAGTACATATATTAACACATTTAAAAGATGTATTTATTGGTTACGCTATTACAGTTGTCCCCATTTTACCCCTTTGCCCCCCTCCACTCAGTACCTCTCTTCCCTCCAGCAATTCCTCCATTTAGTCCATGTCCATGGGTCATGCATATAAGATCTTTGGCTTCTCCATTTCCTATACTATTCTTAACCTCCCCCTGTCTACTTTGTACCTACCAGTAATGCTTCTTATTCCCTGTACCTTTTCCCCCATTCCCCCTCTCCACCTCTCTGCTGATAATCCTGTGAATGATCTCCATATCTATGATTCTGTTCCTGTTCTAGTGGTTTGCTTTGTTTATTTTTGGTTTTTAGATTCAGTTTGTTGATAGTTGTGAATTTATTGTTACTTTAATGTTC